TGTTGTACTTACACGGGTTTTTAAAATTCACTCACATAGCAGTCACTGCCAAGTAGGTGGTCTTAGGGTTTAGGGTTTAGGGTTCAGGGCAGAATCAGCAGCAACCAGTAAAGGGCGTTTTCAGCTTGATGGGACATGTTTTAGCGTTTCTTGGGAATGCGGGCCCTCTTGGAGGCAAGCATAATAACTACAATGCTCTGTAAGAAGTAGATAACATGCCCCTCCTTGTGGGAAACTCTCACGCTGGTGTCACGGCCTAGGTGACTTTACTAACAGAACCAAATAACCCACCACATGTAACTCTCTCAAGGCCCCAAACCCTACATGCATGGTAGGAATAAACAGAAACATGGTATTAATAGCATCACCATAGCAAACAGTGATGCCATAGATGCTAGCCACCAGACAAGCCTTGCGCAATAACCTCCTACCATAAAACCCTAGATCGCACGACTGGAATCCTCAATCCCCAAACCTCAACAACCCCCTCATCCCCAAGAAGCCTTTAACTCCGAACACCTGAACAAATTAAGCCGACCCCTAAACCCTAAACTAAACCTGTAACCCCCAAAGCCCCAACCCTAATCCTGAAACCTCCCTGCTACTTAGAGGCAACAGCGCGAGGCGTGGCACGCTGGAGGGTGGGCTCTGACTTCGCAGCTTTGGCCGCCTTATCTGGACGTTTCCGGAAATTAGGTGTCTCTTTTGGGGGGTCCCCAGAATAAAGATCGTGTGGTCTATTTTGGAAGTTTTCCCCTATCTGTAGAAAACTGCCATCTGGCTGTGGCTTCATGGGCTGTAGGAGGTTGCAATTTTAGGATTTAGGGATTTAGGGTTTATAGGGATTGGCTGGAAGCACGGTGTCTGAAAACTGAACCCCTTTTTTCCCAAGTGTGGCAGCAATCTAGTCAAAACGGACCCGCAAGGCAATGGAAGGGCACATCAAAAAAGCACCTCTTGAGTTCTGTCGAGCTTCTGAGCACTTGAAAATCTGGGCATGTACCAGAGCAAGGGCCCTTTTCTACCCCAAAGCGTCTCGGTTACACCTCACCCTCTAAAGGCTTGGGCTTGGGGCCTAAATGGTGGATGGAGGAAATCTTGCACCACTTCTCCTCTCCCAAACACTGCAACTATAATCATTGGGGCTATATGAGCTATCTTAAGTAGCCCCGAAACTACTCCCCTACATAGTCCCCTATATACCCTCCATATAGGGTGGTGCGTAGAAACTGCCAAGTTGCTGCGCGGCATGGGCGGCCTCCTGTTCCATTAACAACAGCGAGAATGAAGGCTCTGTATGTTTGATAGATGTTTCTTAGGGCTTAGGGTTTAGGCTTTAAGGTTTTTTTAGGTGTGTCACGCAACATGAGCCCATATCTGTTTTTGTCGAATCTGATCGAGCACGGGTCTCGGAGCAATGTGACAAATAGCCTGCAAAGTAGGAAGCTCATTAGAATGATCCCCCCAAAAAGGGCATTGCTAAGACATCCGCATGTTAAAGGGATGAAATGGGCGGGCTTAAGAAGTACGTAATCCGAAGCAGTGAACTTCACCCATCTACTATCTGATAACCTCACAAACCGGAAAGCGGACCGACAACTAGTGTCAGGTGTGGTAGCTAGGAAATGAAGCAATCAGTTACTGGGATCAGCTTTTGTCGGAGGATGGGAACGTTTCAGGCCTCAAATTCTCATAAGTTCACAGCTGCTTGTGCTGCTTACGGATCATCTCTAATTTGGTAGTTTCCAAACAAAATGAAACTCCAAAATGCACCTCAAAATACTATAGGCCTGATTCTCGGGCCAGCCCCCCCCCCCCCAAAAAAAAGGACCTTCTAGTGCAGGGAAACACCCCAACACCCTATACCCTAAAGCCCAAACCCAGCCCAACCATACTGCGCTTGGCATGCTTCCAGTCTCTTCCTCTTGAAGTTCACTTGGAGGGTCAGGGGGACTTATTAAGTAAACTTGCAACCCCAAAAGCTACATAATGACCCCACCCAAGGGCTCCTATGTAGTTCCTTTTGGGTTTGCCATGGTTCTTGGGTTAGGGATTATACTATACTTCCCAAAAAGGAACTATATAGGAGGTTCTGAGTAGCTAAGGTGTGCAAGCAGGAGCCTTCATCTTTCAGCAAAATGGTTTTGGGGCGGAATGTACGCTGCAATTCCATTAGCTCAATTCCATTGCTTGTACAGCTAAGTCTTGCATGAACTAACATGGGTGGTTTTCCTGACAAAGTCCACCCCGCTGGAATCTTGCAGTAGTCCGTAGTCCTGAAAGGAAGGCGAGGGTCAAACTGACCCAAAATAGTATTTTCCATGATATTTCCATTGTCCCAATATAGCCCCTATATAACCTCAACAGAAGCCTAATATTGAATAGGGGCCCTAAACCCTAAAACCTAAACCAGCTTGCCGGAAAGACCTGCAGACCCCAGGGAGCCATAACTCTGCAGCTCCAGGAACTCTGAAGCTGAGCAGAAGCCGAGAAATTGAGGTTAAATAGTGTGGTTTAGGGTTTAGGGTTTAGGGAGTTAAATAGTGGCTTTATAGGGATAATGGAAAAGAAAATGGAACTACTATATTATGATAGGGTATATATAAGGGGGTTTAATAGGGACAATGGAAAAGAGCATGGAAACTACTGAATTTTTGGGGTGTGTGTATATAAGGGGGTGATATCGGGATAATGGAAAAGAACATGGAAACTACTATATTATAATCGGGTATATATTGGGGTTATGTAGGGGTAATTTGTGATGGGGTATATTATGCTATCCAGCGGACGGATGATAGGGGGACATGTTGGCAATTTAGGGTGCTGGCCGAAAAACATAGGAACCAGTGTCTAGCATCCCCCTTAGTAAGCCCTATAATACTCCGATATATAGCCCCCCTCAAGGAGTTTAGACTATAAGTCATAAGATTCCGTCCATACTGGACCCGACTGTACGAACAGTGAATGTACGAACAGTGAATGACGAGGCCTGTCCTTGACGCACTCCTAGTCCTAATTCCCTCAGTGAAAAGTCAAAGTCAGAGATGCCTGAACCTAACCCTAAACCCTAAACCCTAAACCGCGTTGCCGGCCTGCGACAGGTAAGCCAGAATGGCGAAACCAGTCGCAACCTGTCAACAAGGAAGCAAGAAAAGGCATGAAGGTTCAGGACTTGCTGCACTTGAAGGCTTCGTAGATTTAGACATAACTTCTTCGTGGAGATGCTGAAGTTGGAGACATGAACGACGCTCCATTCAAGTGGAAACGTTCATAAGAGACCAGGTGGCCATCCAGATTGGGGAGTTCTCAAAATTGCGGCCTTGATTCTGATCGTACCCATAAACTGACCTCACCGTTCGTGTGGTTACGTGAGGCGGGGGCCATCTTTTTTTAAATATCCATGTGCATTTCTGTAGTTGGGTCGCAGTACAATGATCACTATCCCGGCTACTGCCTTCAACTTTGTAACTACACAGCAATTTGGAACCTCAGACCCTAATAACAGCACTGCCTGAACATCAAAGAATGGTCTTATTTTGGCTCTGTTGCGGCATTTTGGCCGACGCTTCGGCCTCTTGCGACCCAGGTAGATGTAATGATGGCTTGAAGAAACTAATGCTACCAAGACTAATAGCAGTACACCTGACACCCTAAACCTCGATAGTTAATCATGTGGCGACGGCGTCTACAAGGGATGGGAATTTGATTTCCAAGCTTGCCAGGCACATCGCCCGAAAACTCAGCAGACCCTAGCAATAGTAGCAGTGGTATTTTCTGAGTGTCAAAGTAATACTGGAGATTTTCTATTAGCAGGAATGGTGATGCAGGCAAGACTAGTGCCTGCGGACATTGCCTTTTTTGTGAGGCGCGGACTGGGCACGCTGCCGGCACAACTGCAACTCCAACCAGCTGCCAGATTCCACTGACATGATGGCTAGTTAGTCGCTCTGGAGGCGGGAAAGTACATTGAAACATCAACCAGCCATTAAGTTCTGCTGACATGATGGCTAGTTGCTGCCAAGGTCCAAAACTGAAAGGGACCCAACTTCAGTCAGTACCCTGACCGGCAAACCCGAAACTCTAAGCTTCCCCTCCAGAAGTCTAATGTAGCAGCCTGACTAATCCTCTCCCCTCATGATGACCGAGGGGTTGATAAAGCGAAATAGGCTTCTAGAGTAAGATATCGTACTGTATAGGGATACAAGGATTAGAAGTTCTTAGGACACATTTAGCCCCAGAGCGAAAACGCCTCGAATACCAACGTCTTTTACTTTCGCCCTCAGATCGCGAGCCAAGATTCCCTCCGAAGGCAAAAACTTACTGGCGGTTAGTAGGGAATATGGGAATGTATTATGATGTAGGGGTTATATAATGAATATATTCCCTTATTCCCTGCTAACCACCATGAAGAAAATGAGATGAACATTCTGACATGGTCCAGCTACCTAACGGCTTAGTACTTGGATGGCAAACATTTTGGATGGTAAGCAATGCCCAAGAGCCGATTAAAAATGGCCCCTTCACTTTGGGATAATATACTAGAATATACCATAATATATTATAATATACTATGATATACTATAATATACTATAATATATGATACTATAATACCCTAAACCCCATACGAGTCTGTACCAACCCTCTAGGCTTCTGGACTACGTGCTTTACCCACCTGGCGGTCTGCGGCTGACAGCTTCTGGCGCGTAGCCTTGCAAAAGCAGGGGTCTTGCTACACTTCCTCCCCAGAAGGGGCATTTTTGTGCCTAAACTTTCTCGGTTAAAGTGGTGAAAGGAATGACTTCCGGGGAAAACTGGGCCAACTTCTTATCTTTTGTCCCACAAAAGGCACCCTGTAGTAACAATGTTTTGGGTATCTACCAGCTCTGGATGACAATGGTGCTGCATGATGTCATGTTGGACCCCGGCATCTCGCACAGCAACGAGTGCACGGCAATCGAGTCACAAGCTGGGCAAGACTTGGACAGCAAGCAAAAACCCTATGACAACCATAACATGGTCGGGGCTAGGATATGCATAATCTTTCGCATCAATTTCCTTTTTACAGTTACCGGCCATCATTTGCATTTCAATCCTCTTGAAGACCAGCTTACCCAAGCCCTACATGCTGCACACAATAGATCTGAAACTGAAAAACTGAAGGACTGAATGGACATAGGGCTTACCAAAACCCATAAGAACCGTCATTTAAGGCCGCTTTCAGAAGTCATTTGTCGTTCTTCAGTCGGCAGCCTTGAAACCTAGGTGCATATGGGAGCGACCTCACCTTCTTTCCGAAGTGTTTGCACGACCGCGATCAAAGTTTCGCTGCTTCGGTCAAGTTGGTTTGGATCGTCTGTGTGAACCTGATAGCCATGTTTTAAAGCTGCTCAAACAGGCCGAGAGGCAAGGACTTTACTCTGGAGCTTTGCCTTTGCTGCTCGCCAGGGCTCTGCGTTACTTCCGGGTGGAGGGCACTATGAAATGGCCATGTGTCATGTTGATAGACGATGTTGCGTGGTCCTTGTCTTAAGCACCTTTTCTGGGTTGCATGTGCGACAGTGTAGCAAGACCCGCTCAAACCCAAGGAACCTCTGTCGAACAGGAGGTAAAACATGGGAAGTAGACTTGGCACAGCATGCGCGGATGCTTTCCTGAGGCAGATTGTAGCTCTAATTGCCCAGCCGTACAGACCAAATTCACTGGAACGCCTTGGCCAAGGCTTCCCACCAAGGGTGGCTCGCAGTGGACGGCAGTCTGTTTGCCCCTTACCATGTATCCTAGCACCAGTATAGCAGCTTACAAGGATCAGAATTACAGATGCGCAAGGGAGCTGCAGTCAAGGTCAATTTATCTTCAGGCCATCCGAGTTCTGATTAGACGTCGCTAGGCTGCATTGATTCCAATCGCGCCGAAGGCGATCTGCGTCGGGTCCGGCGGTGGGGGCTCGAGATTTCGGTGGCCCCAGCGGGAACCTTGCGTCGGGCATGTGTAGGCTTCTGTCTGGGGCTTTGCGGCATTTCTGGGGGATGACAAATTTCAGCTTCCGACCCGGTTTAGAGAGGGCCAGATATTTCAGACTCAGGGTTCAAGATTTCAAGCTGGCTTCGGATTGCTGCTAGTTCGTGTCTAGCAGGCAATGCCTGCGTGGCAAGCGTTGGGAATAGCGATGCGAAAGACGGGCTTTGAGGCCTGATTTTCTTTTTGCGTGGCTCAAGATTGATATGCAGACAGACTAGCTCTAACCTTTCACCTTTGAATCGCTGATCGAAGCCGGGTCCACTACACGCGCCAGCAAGTAATTCTGGGCCTTCGTATGCGAATACTGCAAGGTGGCATCCGGGACTTTTACGAGCTGAGCGGCGTGGGTCCGTGAATATCATCAGCACGGCACAGAACAAGTGCAGCACTGCTGCTCCGGTGCAACACCACGCCGTCAACATGGCTGCCTAGAATGCCCCAAAGATTACACCAAAACATGCCAAGTAGTTTCCATTTTCTTTTCCATTACCCCAATATAACCCCCAATATACTATAGTAGTTTCCATTTTGTTTTCCATTACCCCAATATAACCCCCAAAGATTGAAGCTTTAGAGGTTCCTTGTCCTGGGCTCGAGGCCAGGGCCTTAAGGTCTGAAGCACAGGTCTGGATTTCAGGCTTAGGGGCAAGGTCCGGCACGGTCCTAGTATGCAGCAGGACTATGCACAAGAAAGGGAAGCTAATGAAGTAACCTGCTACGATGGCAGCTGCCTGTGCCAAGGAAAGCATAAGAAGCTTAACGGTACTTAGGGAGCATAGCAAAAGCGATTGCGGACAAAAGGTGGTCCATTGGGAGCGTAAATATCCCCAGAACACTTGAGCCAAAAAGTCGAAATGCGTACTCCAATCTTCCAACTCGGTCTTGACGATCTGCGTATCTGTAAAACCCCCACAGCTGTCGCCCTGCTTTGCTGTCGTAGTAGCAGGGTTGAAGGCAAGCCGCAAAAAATGTATTCATGTAGTTGCGGCGTCAGATTCGAGATCGAAGTGTTGGAGCTCCGTGGCTGCTAGAATTGCAATTGCGAAGTATTACCGCCATTGTAGACCCCCTAACTCCTATGAAGCCGCAATTCCATTCTATAGTATGTTCCCATTGAGAGCATCAATCGCTCCCTAGATGCTCCTTATAGAATAGATCATCCTGTGCTCTCAATAGGCTTTTCAATGCCGCCAAAAACGCGCAAGGAAGCTCCAGAAGTCCGAAACAATTGTGTATAATTATCCTGCTCCCGAAACATGCCGTAAGTATCCGCCAAGGACTGGAAATAACATGGAAAATGCTGTCGTGGAAATTCAAATGGAAACAACTTCCAACCATTTGAAAGGATGCCCCTGCAGGGGTTGCGGCAGCACTTCGCAAGTGCGAGCGAAGGCACTACCTCGCTTGGCTAGGGAAAAGGGTTTAGGGTTTAGGGATTTAGGGTTTAGGGTGCAGGCACGGCAAACACTGTCCTGTCCCGGCTAGAGGGCTGAGGGTTAGGGTTGTAGTGAAGCAAAGAGCAGTGATGTTTAGGGACTTTACTGGGGGTCATGTAGGGATTACTACAAAGTTTACTACTTGAGGGTTCGTGGCTAGAGTTTGAAATTTGTTTATATGGAAGTATAGAATGGTTAAACAACTCAGAATGAGAGGTGAAGGTCCTATGGGATGTACACAGCCCCTCCCCCAAAGAGATTATGTATTCCCAAGTTTCTATAATGTAACACACTGGCAACATTTAATATGAAGGGATGGGGTGCTTTCATGTTAGAGGGAGGAAATGCTAGGGCTAGGGAGTACAAGGGTTGCTTAGGAGATACTTCAAAGCCAGCATTTGTCGACTTCCTGGCAGAGACACAGCTGTGTCAGGCAGCCCTGCTAGCCAAGTAGAATCCCTGCGCGGATACATATAGGAGTGCCCGGAGGAATGCAAGTCATTGCTTACTATAACTCTAACCTCATCACGCTTATGACAACTATAGCGCTTCAAATGATTGTCATGAGGGTTTAGGCTGCTGTGCTGCGGCGTAGATTTCACAAGGTCTGGAGCCATCGCCATGCTGTTGACTGTAGCGCAGGGCTGCGAGGGTCACCTGCGATTCCCATATTTCCTGTATAAGAATACAGGAATAAATAGAGATGAAATGGAAACTGAGCTTATATAGTAGGGGGTTATAGGGAGTAATATGCCTCCCCAAGCTCACATGGAACTCCATATAGCCCCTAGCCGTTCAAGAGCCCCATCTTTCGGAGGGAGCACTTATACGTAATGCTTGGAAGATCCGTTGTGAGTGGAATGCCGGGGTCACAACAAACCTGCCTGTAAAGCTTGAGAACACATAGAGGTCATAGAGGCTAGACTCTCGAAACCGACGGGAGCATTCCAAAAGAATGCAGCAGCCGGCTGCAAAGTTACTCCTAAATGTGCACATGGTTTTGCGATGCGAGGAGCCCGAAGACGCACACGCACCCCTCTTGAATGTGCAGCTGCGAATGTCTTCAAAACTCTGCAGTGGGAGTTGATCGGAGCCATGGGGAAACCCTACTGTAGGAGTCTAAATAACTGCCAGCATAATTTTAGATCCTAGATGATCTGATGCTTAGACGAGGTGTCTAGAGTCTAGAACACATAGAGGTGATTACTCAGGCCCCTATAGTAAGCCCATGTATCCAAAAACTGCTAAGCAGCGGCCCTTAGTCCTTAACCTGGAAAACTGAAATTGCCAGAAACACTGGGCTCCCCACCGCAATCCCTTCAGAGTCTCCATATATGCCTAGGGACCCTGAGGGCCTTCTCCCCTTCTCACCATGAGCCCAAGCCTTGTGCTACACGAACTCCCCGTCGCACCATGGGTGAGCAGCACCTGGGAATTTATCTTCCCTACCTTCCCAAGACGCCGGGCAAGTATGATGGCAGTAAGAACCAGCCACGGAAGACTACGATCAGGAACAACCCAGGTTGTCAAAAAGCCAAGCCTTGCTTTGCGAAGCTCTGGATTTAAGCTTGCTGGGTCCAATGCTTGCAACTTGTGTGAAGATACGGCATATGGCATACGCTCAGCCAACAGCGTTTCTGGTGTGAAAAAACTGTGCTTCTTTCACTCCATCCCCAGTAATTCTCTCTTTTCGGTACCTGGCCAAGGAGATGTTTTTCCGGCCCAACGCCAAGACACCAAGACAGATACAGCATGATTCTGCCAAAGGCAATTCTCATATTCCACTCTTCGATAACAAGAGCAAAAGCTGTTTGGTTGGTCAACAATTGTATCCGGGCTGTCATAAGAATTTGCATTTAGATTCCTAACACGCCGATATCCAGGAAAGCTCCTGCAACCTTGTGCCTCCAGACAAAACCCTGTAGCAGCCAATAGCCTCAAACGGCCACACATGATCTATAGTCTAAACTCCTAGTATCCCCCTTAATAACTCCTATAGTAGTCCCCTATATAATCCCCTATATAACCCCCCTTCAGGAGTTTAGACTGTGGCTCACATGATCTGAAGCCGTCACCACATGGACTGGCCCGGAATGCTCTGACCAGGCTCCTACTGCTCAGATGGGCATGTCAATATATTTTACTATATTAGACTGCATTCTACTATATTAGGGTTCAGGGTTTAGGGTTTAGGGTTATTAGACTATACTATACTGTATTGTACTATATGATATTGGTTTCGACCAGAGGTAGGGGTTGTTTGGAAGTTGTCATGAGGCTGCGTAAGTTTGAGAGGGGCGTGCAGGGAACTTTCATGAGGGTGAGTGGGGAGCTTTACATGAGACTGGCGTCAGGAACTTTGCAGTACAGTTCGCCTACGAAGTTCGTAGGAAGTTTGAGGTCTGCGGCCTCCTCAATCAATTGAAACCTCTCATTGGCTAAGAAGCTTGGTATGGGAAGGCTCCTCAGCTACAGATGCACAGATGGTAGTTTCCTAAAATAGGGGGACCCCAATATAGACCCCAATATACTAAAATCCTTATTATGGGGACCCCCAAAAGTGTACCCCTAATTTCTAGGAAATCCCCAGATTGGCCTAGAGTTGATTGAGATTACATTCATGTTTCTGCAGGCTTTGACGCACAAAGGCACGAGAAAGCAGCACACCTTCTAAAGGCAGCCAGCGTGCCAAAAGGACATTAGCTACTGGATCTGGACAACTCAAGGACGAAAATGGCAAGCTTCTTGAGTCACAACTCCTCAGCCCATATGACGCAGAACTACACAGGAGTTTCCATAACTTGTGGGAAACAATATAGGCCCAGTCTACCCTTATCCTTGATGCATTAGCTGTATTAGCTATTGCGACACCCGAGGCAATCCGGCGGTCCTCCCAGGAAATGCCCTGGGCTAGCACTTCTTGAATTTCAGGCGGTTTCAACTTCAGATAGCAATCACACCAAAAGAAAGACGTAAACATGTTCCATGTCAGGTGGGTTATGTTTTGTAAGCGCTTGAAGAGGAAGACTTTCCAAGTGGAAGGGTAGGCATCGTGGTCTCATGCCTCCCTGCGTACGGAAGACGATTTCAGATACAAACGGCACCACTTATAACCCAACATTACCCTAATATTGCCCTAGTACTACCCTAGTACACCTAAAGACACTGACTTGAAGCTCGTAGGATCCCTGCTGCGGAATTCATAGCCTCTGGTCGAAGGTCATGGCTGCTGTTGCCGCAGATATGACATCATCTATACAGGGGCCTATATGGGGATAATGTAAAAATGGAAACTACTATAGTCTAATAGGGTGTATGTATATAGAGGTGGTTACAAACACGTAAGAACACCAAGAATAGACCATAACTTTGAAACTCCACATGTCAACCCCTTTTTGCCAACCAAGCTCCAGCTGGCTCTCGAAAGGCAGGCAAGGAGGATAGACCCTATGAAGAAGTCAAGCGGAGTTTAAACAGCACGGCAAGAAGGTCGTTCATTCATACCCATTGAATTTGTAACCTAAAGCCGCCACCGTGAACCCAGGTACACCAAAAAAGGAGAGACAGTGATGCAGTAGCTGGCAAATTCCATAATGCGGATCCCAAGTCTACCCTCAAAATTGAAGCATCCCTTTAACCACCCTGGGACAAACAAGTTATAGAAGCAACGACATGTTGAAACCACCCTGTGCTCCAATCCCTAAATCCCAAACTCCAAAATCCTAAACCCTAAAACCTAAACTCTAGAATCCTAAGCCCCAAATCCTAAACTCTGAATCCCAGAGCCTATACCCTCAGCTCTAGATCCCATGTTAAATGCCAAGCCTCACCCCTTACATACCTTTTTGAAACCTTACATCCAGAACCCTAAGCCCCAAACGCTGAAACCTAAGCCCTAAACCCTAAACCCTAAGGTCTAAACCCTG